GTGCGAGGCTGCTAGAGCTATATCCACCCTGAAGGTTAATCTTGGACAATATCTGATGATCGACTCTTTTAAATGAAATCAGAGAACGTTGACAGAGAGGAGAAGGTAGAAATGACTCAGCCTGTAACTGAAAATGTGGATAGAGGACAACAGAGCTGCTTCATGGAAGAAGAACCTCAGTTTAGCCTGTTAGCCTTCGTGCAAGCACCGATGCTATATCGCCTTATATGTATTAGCTTGGTGCTTGCGCGACAAACTAACAAGCTAAACTGAGGTCCATATTTTCAGTTTCAGGCTGAGTCATTTCTACCTTCTCCTCTCTGTCAACGCTCTCTGATTTCATTTAAAAGAGTCGATCATCAGATATTGTCCAAGATTAACCTTCAGGGTGGATATAGCTCGCTCAAACTGAGGACCTATCCACGTCATCATTTACCCAGAATGCTTTGTGTGTAAATAAAATGGCTCCGTCCGTGTTAAAATATATTTTTAAATTATAAAAACTAAACAGTCAGTATTTTTACAGTCTTTATTTTACAGTTAAAATATATGTTTATCAAATAAAGTCTAATGTTACAACTAATCATGGATCCCTTTAAAAGRCAAAGTCATGAAGTTTCTATTCGTCTCCTTGTCTGTTCATACTTACATATCCAAAACTTTGTGCTCCTCTTGGAACTCCAGCTATCAGCTCTGAGAAACAAGAAAAGCAAAAGAAAGAGTCAAACTGTGTGGAAAAAAGACGCACAGACACCAAACCAAAGACTGTCTGAGAGGTCTGAACCACGTACCCATCCCAAAGCTGTGTGGCTTATCAAGTGCTCAGACTTACACTTTGATTGATGAGTTCAGCTCTGTGAACTTAAGGGGATGTTCAGAGGGTCCCACCCAGGGAGAGAAGAGTTAGTCCCCCMCACACACTTCCTGCTTTGCAGCTCTACCACCAGCCTAATTCTCAGCACCGTCTTTGCTCAGAGTTCCCAGTAAAAACCAGTGACTCCGGTCTTAGGAGCGTCAAAGGAACAAGACCACAACAAGTTCTGCACCACAGTACAGCACATCTGCCAGCATGTGTTGCCTCTTCAGGCTGTCTTTAAGGCTCCGCGACATGTGTTGGGCCCTCGAGGGCGTTCGGGCCCTTTGCAGGGTTAAATCAAGGCAGAGTTGTCCCACAGAGATCCAGCCAAATGCCGATCGGCTAAGTGGCACTGAGAACAAGGAGTCTCAAATCTGTGACAGACTGTGGTGACGCTGTTTGAAGAGGAAGCTATAAACTGTGTGAAAAAAGAAAATAGTGTGGCTGAGGTTTTCTGTCATTGTTTTTGTCTTTAATAAAAGAGCTGCTTTTATTGTTGAGGTTGCTCGGGTGTTTTATTCACGCTAGTGATGTTCGAAGYGGCCAATTTTCTTTCCGATACTGATACCAAGTAAAATTTGTCTGGTATCGGCGATATTGATCCGATACTAATACTTCATGATAACACACATACTGTATTTATTTGTGTATAATACGATCTCATGTATAATAC